AATTATTGAGGGGGTCACGTGATCCAGCGCTCGCAACGCTTTTATCGCAAACTACAAACAGCTGTAGTTGGTCTGTGTCAAATCCTCGGCAGGGGGTTAGCCCTGTTCCAATTACTGGCGCTCGTAAATCGATTTACGAGCGAGTGAAGTAAATAGTTAGGTTCAATTGGTGTGTGCCAAGAATCGAAAAGTTTCGATACTTTGGAGATATAATATAATTGAGAAAAGGAAGAAACGAGAGAAAAAAAGGAATTACATGTGAGTGATTGACTTAGTTACACACAAGAGATCTTTTTTTATCTAATGATTCTAAAATCAAATCTTTTTTTCTTTCTGTCATTTCATTTGGAATGTTTCGAATGTATGAGTAAACGTATGAATGGTTAAAAGATGAGTCCTTCGTATTCGTCAATTTTCGAGTTAAATTGAAAACAAATGCCCTCGCGAAGACGCCATGTTTTGTCATCGACTACGCACCGCATCAGTATTTGATTGGTCGAGTTGTACTGCACCGTTGCTTCGGGATTTTAAATTTTTACTCTCATCTCGTTTTTCTTTCTCTCTCCCTCTCTCTCTCTCTCTCTTTTCTTTCACTTTCCCTTCTGTCTCCGCGATCATCTTAATCGTCCCCTATATATTATAAAAATTATTTCCATTATTATTTCATTTTCGAATAATTTTCTAATGGAGACTTTACAAACGATACTTGTCTCACAAGAGAAATCGATTTAAACGTTTCGTCTTTAAAGAGAATATGCCGGTCCAATGGTCCCCTATAGTAAATATAAAAGAATTAGGTTACATGTGCCTATGCTTTTTAAATATTTTATTTATACTTACAAATAATTATAATTTATTAATTTATCCATTTCACATATTGAGAATATTTTATTATTTGTTTTTTTTTTTTAAAAAGGATAAAATACTTTTCTTTTCCACGACATCGTTGGATTTTACAAGCATTAATGATTCACGCAAGCATATCCCCTTCTCTATAGCGATTAATAACACTCTAATGACGAATTATTAAATATTCACCGGAAAGGCATGCACTCCGATACATTAGTTACAAACCAGACGATTTTCACATTCTCTATTGGAACTACATTTTTTATCATTATTTTTCAACTAAAAAAATGTTTTGTGAATCTTTTTCTTTCCTTAAGCTATCTCGATACAATCTCGGTAAAGTTATCGATAATTATAATCACTTTGATCTACAAAAATTATCTCGAGAAATTATTGTCCGATCGAGGATCGATCTACTCGTCTATTTAATCACAGTTATAAATTATTCATCTTTTTTTTTACAAATTTATTTAAAAACAAAAAATAATTGATACAACAATTGAAACTTTTTTCAAAATCAATAATATTCGATTGTAGGTAGAAACTGTTCATAGATTTTCCAAAGATCCGATATATTTGATGTATTCATCAATTATAAAGAGAAAAACAATTTCTAAGATTCGTCGTTAGATGATTATTATTTGAGAAGAATACTGGGGGGTAGTCGGAAAAAGAGAACGGATGTAAGTTCGGATTTACGGGGGCGTTTAAAACGACAAATTTTATCAACCGATAATTTTCTATCATCGTGAAAGTCGTGAAACGTGGGTGGGCTGGCGATCATAGAACTTTTACTAATTTAAAGTCTTTTTAAAAATAAGCATATAGAAAGAATGTATACAAAAACTAAGAGAGAGAGAAAGAGAGAGAGATAGAGAGAGAGAGAGAGAGAGAGAAAAAGAGAGAGAGAGAGAGAGAGAAAAAGAGAGAGAGAGAGAGAGAGAAAAAGAGAGAGAGAGAGAGAGAGAGAGAGAAAAAGAGAGAGAGAGAGAGAGAGAGAGAAAAAGTATACAATCTCTTTACATATTTTTCTCACATTTTGTATCCTTTGTGGACGACACTAGGTCGCTTTTGCGAATTCATTTTCTTTGACTTTTTTCTTTTAAGACAAATAGATAAGTAGAAAGAGAGAAAGATAGATACAGATAGGAAGAGGAAAAGTGAGACAGATTTTCTAAGGCGTGGGCGTCCTCAGGAACTCTTTCTTACTTCTTTCTTTCTCTCTCTCTCTCTCTTATTCCCCCGAAGATATATTATATAATAATATATTAAGCTATATTGTCTAAAACGTCAGATATATATTGGGGTCGTGACCCGTCTCTCATAATATTCACCGACTGTCAATAACATTTTTCATATGAACTTTGAAAAGAATAGATAATTGGAAAAGACTGAAATTATTTGATTTCAACCCTTTTAGCACATTCATTCATTGTACCCAAGAATATGGTTCCTTTTCAATGTAGATTTTCTTGATAATTAATCTTTTCGATGGTAATCGGAGTTTATAATTAATTACTATAGACTATTTATTAGTCAAGTCAAGTCATCGTTTATTTCGATCGAAAGAAATAAAAGAAGAAAGCTTTATCTTCAAGGGATGAGTTTTCTTTTATTTTCTCTCTTTTCAAGTCCCGATGCCTTTTGGCATATATAAATTCGCATATTGATCATCTCAGACCTATTCAGAGTTACTCTTTTATTTTTTTTTTTGCAATTAGATTTTTTTTTTTTTTCATTTATACATATGCATATGCATATATGTATTTGTATATATATAGAAATATACAGTGGTAACGATAAATTAAAGGGGGAGGTAGGTGTAGAGGCTTCAGAAAATTCAATCTTTTTCTTTTTTTGTTTTTTTTTTTCATAAATCGTTTGTAAAACTATTACAAAATATATTCATAAAATTTCAAGTCAAAAATCCAAATCGTTCAAAAGTTATAAGCGATTAAATGAGCATCCGTTGTTCAAGTGTCGAAACGCGCAGCATGTAATACAGAACGGTCGAGTTTTTTTCAAACGCGTTTTTCTCGAAACAACTTTTTTCGGATTTGTGTACATTCTAGCTTAAAAAGTTTTGAAATTTGATATGATTTTTCTCTATATAAATGCGCTCTAGTTGAATTAAAATTTTAAACAGTATGTTTGTTTAAAGTTTCTTTTTATTGTAAAAAAAAAAAGGTACGAAAAAAATGATAAAAAATCATGTCTTATGTTCACACCCACATAAAAATTTTAATATTCAATTTTTTTTTTGAGAAAAGTGTAGTTCACATGGAAGAGACATATATAAAAAAAAAAAAAAGGAAATTCTCTGTGTGATTAAGTTCTGATAAAAATTGCGGCTTCCAGAATGTACACAAATTGCTCAGTCAAGTGGAAACTTGCAATGCGCGGCAACTGATATCTCCGTTACTTTTCGAGGAAAATCTTTGAAAATTTCGGAATATATCCTCACAAATATATGTGTAAAATATAACCTAACAATATTAATAAATTATATAAATTCCTTATGTATTAAAAAACTTAATGAAAATCACTGTAAAAATGTCGTTCTACATCTACCTTAAAGATTAGATAAAAATACATTTGGAAGTTACAAAGAAATGATGTAAAAATAAAATAATATTGCAATCTTTAAAATTTGTATTTATAATTTAAATATTGGAGCACATGTTTTTTTTTTTGTATTTTAAGAAATAAGAAGTAACATGATTGTTTTGTTTGTCAAATACTTATGGACATTACGCGTAGCGTACTGTACGGAATAATAAATCGTCTTTATATCAGCCTTGATTGAGTAATTCGTGTAGTTAGATGTATTATAAAGAACATTAACATGAGTAAGAGAAGAAATATCACATCGTAACAACGAAAACAAATGCAATTTTTGCGAAAAAGTTTGATTTCTTTGGAACTTGGAATATCCAGAATCGTTTATTTTCAAACCGTAAAAAATATATTGAACGTTTTTAAACCACAGATAATATTTCTCGTAAAATTAAGCAATGAATAAACCGATGCCAAAATTGATCGAAGAATCCATAGGACTCTCCGAGGCAGGACAGATTTAAAACTACAGTAGTTATTTATTCAGAAATTAATCTTGGTTTAGATAAAAAAAAAATGTAAATGTTCTAACGATACTTCGTCGTTTAAAATGAGTTTGGTTTAATGGGTCGAGTGGCGCGGAAAAAAAAAACTATTCATCTCGGAAAAGATACGACGACGACGAGCGAGAATTGCATTTGCCAAAGAAGATTTTTATTGGAGGTTGGAACAATGGTCTAAAGTCGATTTAATTCTTACGTAAAAACATACGTTAAACCCCATATAGGAGAAGAATTTAAAAAGATTTATACAAAATCTACAGTCAAATGTAATAGAGATTCTGTCTTTATTTGGGGTGCACAATGAGTATTAATACTATCGATCTCATACACCACATAGAAGGAATCACGAATCGTTTTAAGTATTTGTATATAATTAAAAATATGTTACTCCCATAGTGTTGCATTTAGTAATGTTTACATTTACTATATATGCAAGTGATTATTGTATAATTGCATCCTAACATTGCAATTCGGTAATAAAAATAAAAATTTTTCAAGTAACCGTAAGTATATTGCCGCCACTTTATATAGATTTTTATTTGACGATCTTTGATTCGAAGTACACGAAGTACATGACCATTTCTATCGAGAAAATCTTGTCTAATTATTTAGCTGGTATCTCGTTCCTATTATCCAAAGCTCTGTTTGTCTCTCTCTTCTCCCTTTCTTTATTACGTTTGTATAAATGTGGGAATGGGTGAGGAAGAGGAAGAGGGTTGACTTTTAGTCCTGCGGGTTCGCGTCGGCGCTGTATTTCATGAATACCCGGTAGACTCGCAAAGGGGTTGGTGTATAGAGTGAAATGGAAGGGAGAATCGAGCCATGGCCACGTATCGATCGTCGAGTAGAAAACTACCCTTGTAGAAAGAAGAGGGGAGAAGGGGGTCGAGCGTGAGATGGAGAGAGAGAGAGAGAGCTGGGCAGTAGGTGGTGGTTCTATTACTGGTGCTGCTATTGGTGCTTGCTGGTTTTGGTAGTGGTAGTGGTGGTGGAGTGGTGGTGGTGGTGGTGGTGGTGCCGCTTCTGCTCTGCTTCTGCTTCTGCTGTTTCCATCGATGGTACCTCGGTGGTAGAAGAAGTAGTAGTAGTAGTAGTGGTGATGGTGCTGCTGTTGTCAGCCCACGCGGAGAATCTCTAGTCTCTTCTCTCGGACGTGTTATACTCTACTCTTCATTTTCTTCCTTCTTCTCTTTCTATCTTTCTATCTCTCTTTCTTTATTTCTCATTCTCTTTCTCTCTGTCTATCTATTTCTCTCTGTCTCTCTCTCTTTCTCTTTCTCTTTCCCTTTCCCTTACTCGGTCGGCCTCTATCTCTTTTTGCGATATAAAAAGAGAAGAGGAGAATATTATTTAATCGAGAGGATTTTTCTATTCGAATTTCTCTATATCAAGAGGAAACTTTCAGGTGAGATATTTATTCTTTCGTATCATTAATATCATTTAAGTAGATTAAATAGTCATCTTGTATGTAGTCAACCTGCTTTACTATAATTTACACCGATTTCGTAACACTCTCTCTCTCTGTCTCTCTTTCTTTCTCTTTTTTTAATATCCGTGGAATATAAGATTACAAAACAAAAATGTGTAATACGAATATAATACTCTTTAGTTATTTATGAAAGTGATTATAAATATATTAACGAATTAATGTTGATATTATGATAACCTTTACAAATGCATTTTTCCCCCCCTTAGAGAAATAGAAATAGATAGATAGACAGAAAGAGAGAAAGACATATGTTCGACTAGATGTAAAACGTTTCTTTTCATTAAGAGTACATTTACTCTCATTAGAGTCTATTACAAGAAGGGAACCGAAGTTGTCGAGGTATTAAGATTAAGATACAAACATGCTTCTTCTTCATTTATTCTATTTGACCGTATATATGTATATGTGTACGTGTGTGTTTGTATGTATATGTGTATACTTTTTTTTATTGTTTTTTTGTTGGATATAAAAGATTATATATCAGAAATCGAATGTATGTGAAAATGTGTACGATCGATAACATTGAAGATCGTGTTCCAAATCTCTTGGCTTTTAGCCAGACATTCGATATTTTATTTCTCTTTCATTATTTTTATATAATCAATAATTAATTAATTATTATTAATAATCGCATTTATTACAAAAAGAAATCGTAAGACATTAATAGTATTTCATGTGATATTTTTCTTATGTTTGGTTTTAGAACAGTATCTTCGTTTAGAAATTTGTGACAGAGAAGAAGTTACCAAGCAAACACCATGGCGTTCGCTGGATTAAAAAAACAAATCAACAAAGCTAATCAGGTAATCCTAATTATTTTCTTCTTTCTTTCTTAATCGTTATCTAAAATAAATTATTTTTAATAACGTTTATATATATATGAGCTGGCGATTATGTAGTCTAACCATAAGTATAGCTTAACAAACAAAAATTGGTTTATCATCTAATTTGTATGGCAATGATTCGACGATTATATGAGTTATACGATTAATTAATTGCTTTTTTAATTTTTTATTTAATCCTTATCCTCAATAATCGCTTGCTCATATGTATGGAAGTATATATACATTGCCCATGCTCATGTAAGAATGGAAAGGAGCCATCATCCTACTTGGTCTTCATTTCGAGGAACTTTGGTCGATACCGAGGCGCGAGCATCGCTGAAATTTTAATCGGCTGCGTAACCAATCCACCTTCAAACGAGATATTCTTTTTACTAAATTTATTACTTTTTCTTCAACGCGACATTTTATTATCATTTTATTTATTCATATCGTTCAAACAATTTGAATATCCTTAATGAGACAACTATAGAAAGATGAGATTTTTCTTTAGTATATATATATATTGTAGAATATATTATATATTTCTTTATAATCATCGAAATATATAAATATTTCAATTATCAAATAACATTAGAGTAATTAACAGTTTTTCATAATTGAACGATCGGGGGAGAGGAGGAAATGAATTACACTCATTCATTGTGTCAACGTATGTGGCAAAGACTTCGACAAAATTAATATGGAAATTAGGAGATTTTGTTGAATGAATTTAATGATATTTAATATATGTTGGAAAAGGTAGATAATAGAAAGAGAATACGAACGATGAAGAGAAGCGATCGAAGCTGTCGACCTTCGTCCTTTAATTGCATCAGCGAACCTTTAATGAATGAACGGCTAAGAGTAGAGTCCAATGGACGAACCCCGGTGTGTAGAAAAGAGAAAACGAACTTAGGTGATCCGTGTTAGGTGCATAGGTAACGCTTCACTTTCCGTTCCCTAATTGTATTTTATATACTTTATACAGATAGCAACTCGAGGAAGTAGATACGACCTATAGCCTATACGTATATACAATATATATATATATCATATCATATATTCTCTCTTCGACCTTTTCTTTTCTTTTTCTCTCTGATCTTTTTTTCTTTTTATAGTGGATAGTCTGTCCATCTATATATAAGTTTCATCTTAGGCCATATTACTAATTAAATAACTCTTTGCCGAGACATTTCGGGATTATCTTTTTTTTCCAATTTGTATCTATATTATAAGTAATATAATTATATATAAGTAATATATATATATATATATATAATAATATATAATAGTAATAATAAAAATGTATTTAATAGATATATGTTTTCCGCTGACCTAACTTTTTCGTATTTCTCGATACATAAAATATAAATAATATACATTAGAGGATGATCAAATCAAACATCGAAGTAGACATTGCATCGAATATATAGGTCAAATTTACGTTGAATTTACGCGATGGCTACGTTTTCGCATAAGCGTGAAGGATCTCTCTCTCTCTCTACCCCTTTTGCGATCTAGGTCACCGATGGATATAGGTCACGGCCACACATACGAGGGAGAGCTTTCCTGAACAATTGTCGTCATCGTAGTAGTAGTAATAGTAGTAGTAGTAATCGTCCTAGCTATACTACGTGTCAAACCTCCTGACAATATATTCCTCCTCCCTTTTTTTCTTTATTACATAGCATACGCATTTCTTTCTACTAATTTTCAACCCTTATATCGACTTTTATTCGATATACATGTAAATATGTATGCACTTAATATGCATAACTATTTATCTTCTATATTTTTTATTTTTATTCATACTTATTTGCGTATGTGTATAATATAATATGCAAGAAATATATTAGGAATATTTTACGGATTAATATACACGTATGATGCAATTCTTTGATAAGAAAATAAATAAATAAATAAAGAAAGAAAATATACGACTCGTATGTCCGATTTTCTTTGGCACAAGACGCATCGTTCTTTCTTTCTTTCTTTTTTTTTTCTTTTCTTTTTTTTCTTTCATTCTTTTTTGTCTACCTTATTCTTTGCTGGCAAATTTTCAAGAGCACGTCACGACGTTAGATCAACCGACTGACTTACTACTTACTACATAAGTTATCGATCCGACTCGTCCATTATACTTGTCACCGATATTTTCCTCTCCTTTTGACCTCTTCCATTCCTCTCGTTCATCGTTTACCTTCAAGAAAGATATATCCTTTAAGCTGTTAGCAAAAAAATAATCTCCTATCGTCGTCTATCGAGGATGATCTATCTTTGTTTATAATACAATTAAATTCCTCCGCAATTTTTTCTTTTCTTCAAGCCCTCCTCCTTTCTCCTTACGAGTAACAATTTCTATGTGTATAAATTATTAACAATAACCTTGTTCCTAAATCCTTTAACTTTTTCTATGGTAAATCTTTCAATCGAGATAAGAAATAAATATTCTCTTTGTAAGCATTTTTGATATTTGATTTCATTTTTACAAGAGTCTTGTAACTCTTGTAGTTTTCAAGTCCTATCCTATGTACTTCAATTTATAGGAGAGGTACAAACATCGAATGGTACTTTATATCGTGGATATATGAGTATGCTTTACTCTGGGGACGTCCGTGTAGAGTTATGTTACAAAATATGTATGTTGTCTTTGCTGCGCTTATGCAACGCAAGTGTTTAACGAGAGTATCTAGAATAACTGTCGTAATCATTAATAATGATATATGTTTGATTATGGTTTTATAACGTATCATTAATTATATCATTTAATATGATAATTAATAGATTTATTTGACGCATGTTAATTTGTTTTCATTTTCTTTCGTCTTTCTTTTTCAAGTATATGACCGAGAAGATGGGCGGTGCCGAGGGTACTAAGCTCGATGTCGACTTCGTCGATATGGAAAGGGTGAGCGCATATTTTTTCTTCATTTAAGAAACAGACTCCTTTTTCATTTTCGCAAGTTATAAAAGTCAAGCAATTATGGGGAACCACGAAAGTATTATGAGATTCTAACGTTAACAATACTATTTTTACATCCTATCGTTACATTTTTACTTGTTCATCTTTCTGTAAGAGACAATTTAGCTCGTATTTAATCGGAAAATAATAAATTGACTTATTTGTGCACGTAGCAATCATCAAAAATGAAAAAATAAATAAACAAGTTAATGACGTGGAAAAAGGATTATTTCATTCGAAGATTTTTTCGTGAATTTATAGAAAACAGACGTGACTAATGAGCTGGTGGAAGAACTGCAGATGAAAACTAAAGAATTTCTTCAACCGAATCCAACTGCGAGAGCAAAGATGGCGGCGGTCAAGGGCATTAGTAAACTCAGCGGCCAAGCAAAGGCCTCGACCTATCCTCAACCCGAAGGTGTTCTTGGCGATTGCATGCTCATGTATGGCAAAAAATTAGGCGAGGACAGTATTTTTGGTAGGTCAATGGGGTTTTTTTTTTTTTTTGTTCACATCAGACTTTTTCTTATATTTTTATCGTAATTAACAAATTTAACGGACAAGTATATTCAATAATAGTAATAAACGTTATTTTAATCATTATTAATGGAAGAAATTAAATTTATCGAATGTTAAATAAATTGCGCCTGGATATATGCAATGTTTCATACTTGGTCGATAATTGCGTCATCTTTCGGTATAATACAGGAGTGTAAGAAAGTTGCATACTATAAGGGGATACGCTGTTTTCTTACAGTAGGCATCATGTAATACAGCTTACGGCGGGGGTATAAAAAAGTTTCTTATCAAAAGAAGGCATCCACGATCTTAATTACCGACTGGGTATATAGTGTTGCATATTTCCAAACGCGCGAAGTTTAAATATTTGAATGGTTTTTAATATGATTAATAATAATATTTCGCGAATATATTTTTGTTATCTTTGATATTATATTTTATGTCAAGAACATTTTTTATTCTTATGTAGCTCAGGCTCTTATTGAAATGGGAGATGCAATGAAGCAAATGGCCGACGTAAAATATTCCTTGGACGATAATATAAAGCAAAACTTTTTGGAACCGTTGCATCATTTGCAGACTAAGGATCTTAAGGAAGTAATGGTACGGGTGCATTTAATACTACTATTACAAAACTTGGATGCTCTTCTAACATAATTATTTAACTTTTGTTTCTCCTTTTTCTTTTTTTATTATCTTCCTGTAGCACCATCGGAAGAAACTTCAGGGAAGACGATTGGACTTTGACTGCAAGCGAAGACGTCAAGCAAAAGGTATTCTATGATGACTTTTTTTTTATCCTTTCGCTTATATTTTTCAGACATCATCATTGATTTTTATTATTAAATTTACGCGACTTCAAATATCCATGATAGTATAAAATACTTTTTACAATTCGAACCAATGGGAATATTTTGGATCGATTGATCGATATATTTCATTTTAATCGTTCAATGATGTTCGATCAGAGTTACATTCGTCATTTATAATAGATACTTATTTATTATATTATTTTAGATTAGATCAAACGAATACAGCATGCGATTAATGTTATTAACTCGATTAACTTGAAGATTATATTACGCGAATCACATAGGATAATATCATTTTAATTATGTTTTTTTTCTTATATTTCTTTCAAGTTTTTCATATTTTGTTCCTCTATTTCTTTCTATTTTTCTTTCTCTTTTCCTTCTCTTCTACTTTGAAACGATAGCTGTGGGAAAGAGATCGGGAAGCCCACACTTTGGAAGTCCAGCAAAAACTGCACCCTATGCTGGTACGTGGTTCTATGCTGGTATACGCTCCACACTGCGTATATTTTTATTTCTTTATTTTTTTTATTTTTGTATTCTTTTATTTGTTTTTTGTTAATATAGATTAATATTTGTCGAGTGTGATATTATATATATCATTTCATGATAATCGCTTGGTCGATAAGCATTTATTTAGCTAGCCAAACTCTTCAAAGAAAGCTGATGCCAGTGACAATAATGCAAATGGTACAATATACGTGTATATATATATATAATACAAACATAGCTATATTATCGCTTTAATAATTACGCCAATGCACCGTTTCATTTACGAACACCACTGTAACAATTGTATCCATTTCACGTTTCATATAATATGCACTTTTTCAGTTTCTTCTTAACATTCATCTAATTTTTTCTTAGAATTAAGAATATTTATGTTGTAATATAATTGATATTATGTAATATATATTGAGCCACCCTGTAGTGCAACTTTTTAATAGACCAACGGCGCAACTTTTTGCGAACAGGTTCTCACTTTTCAGACGACGAGATTAAGCAAGCCGAAGAAAAGTTTATCGAGAGTCTTCATCTCGCACAATTGGGCATGTTCAATTTACTCGAAAATGATGTAAGTCATGGTTATGTACGTATTCTAATCATTATATTTAATAAGATTGTTTATTTAATGTCATTTTTTAGATTGAACAAGTGGCTCAATTGGCGACTTTTAGCGAAGCTCTTTTGGAATATCATCAACAATGCACCGAGATTTTGCGAGTTCTGACTGAGAAACTATTAGAGAAGTACGTATAAATGTAGTATTATAATCATTACAAAAGTACAGATTGTTTAATTTTCTTAAATTTATTATTCATTATTTATATCTAATCATTTTTTGTTTTATTTATTTTTCTTAGGAAAGAAGAAGCAGCGATCAGACCGAAAATGGAATTCGTTCCTAAGCCATTTGCTGATCTACACGTCGAAGGTTTAACATCTTCGGATGCCATGAACGGTGGGAACTACTCCCTTCACGGTAAAAGCCATTTCACAAACATACATAAGACTACGATCGTACAATGATTTAACTGAAACACGTGTCTCAGGGTGATTGATTTTGATGTGTCTCTAATTGTTTTTTTGTCTCCTCTCCTATATAATGCAACGTGTATCTGCGTGTATTTTATGCAACTACGTTTACTTCACGGACGAACGTAAAACGTTTTTTTAATGTTCTATTATCAGCACGTTTATTGATACATCTCTATACAATCCGTACAATTCATACACGAATGTTTTACACATTTCTCTCTATCTTTTTTCACTTATCTCTTTTTCTTCTACTAATTCTAAATAGATTCTAAACATAAAAGAATTGTCCTGAAATAAAAGAAAAAAAAAAAAAAATAGAAATCAGAAATTTTGTTAAAATCTATGTCAATAATATTAAGATTACATTTGTTGTAATATTTAAATGGCGATTACACGAACACACATATATCATTAGATCGTTCGGTGTGTAAGTTTGAATTACTTGTGGCATACTTGAATGTCTGTCCTTCTGACACGATGTAGGATCAAGTCGAGCCGGTTCTCCGATCCATGGAGACGGGAAGCGTTCGCAGCTCGAACTATTCCCAGCCGGAAATCCGCCGCAATCCGCCAATGGTAAATTTTGCATGGGGTTGCTTTCCTTATTTTTCTATCGTCCCAAAGCGTAAAATCAATCGTCGTATAAACAATTATTATCCTTTTGCTTTTTAGACCTCCATTATTATTATTATTATTATTAATTTATCATCTTATCGAATTATTAATTATTAACGAGGAAGCAACACGAAAAAGTATAATATATTTTTTTTCTCGTCAGCATGCTAATCATTTTTTTGTGATCGTTAGATGTCTTTTCGTTAAATTCGTTCTAGACATATATATCATCTTTTCCTTGAATTATTGTCCAATTGAATTTTTCGGTCACTATATAATCTTCCTGCCATTTCTTTATTTTCTTGCACTTTGTATACGTAATTTATCACTTAATGTTTTACTTTTCTCTAATACCAATTTACACTAACTAAGATGATTACGATAATGCAGCATATAATGCAATCATTCAAAAGTGCATAATTATGAAACACATTAATCCTCTTTAACTCTATTTCTTTCTGGCAATAGAATTATCTTAAATGGACCTTGTATATAAAAATACAATATTATTATAAGATATATGCTATGAAAATGCGTGACTTCATAAGTTACATGACGTTACAGAGGGTTAATTGTCGAGGCTAAAAAAAGAAAAAAACTACATTACCATGTATATAATATATATAATAAAAAATAATCCGGAAAAGTTAGGTTTAATATTATGATTTTATTATAATTTATATATATATATTATATTATATATTATTTATTTATTAATTCTTTCAGCTTCACCGTTGCCATCACCGAGCAAATCACCAGCAAGGACGCCAATGGCAAGACAACCATGTTGCACGGCTCTTTACGATTTTATACCTGAGAATGAGGGAGAACTTGGATTCAAGGTTAATATATTCATATCTTAACATATAATAGGATGATTTTTTCAAAAATTCGCGATATTAGTAAAGAATGATATGATATTCATATTGCACAATTCACACAAGAATATATATATATATATATTTTTCTAGGAAAACGAAACGATCACCCTGATTCAAAAGATCGATGAAAATTGGTATGAAGGTAGCTTAAATGGACGCAAAGGATACTTCCCTGTAACTTACGTTCAAGTCGTAGTACCGCTTCCCTAAAATTAAGCGGATAACTTGACTTACCAAAGAGAGACCCTTGCAAAGTCGTTCGTTAGCGTCTATTAATCACGACAAATTATTAATCATAATAATTGTTATTATTATGTCTCTCTCTCTCTCTCCCCTTTCTCTCTCTCTCTCTTTCTCTCTTTCTCCCTTTCTTCTTCAATTTAGTCCAAAATTACGCCAAGAGAGATTAGAAAAGGTATTATCTATTGTATTATTGTTATGATTTAACGAGCCTTTCCTCAAACGATCCTCAAAAAAGAGTTTCTATCTCAATCCCAATCTTTGACTATATTTCTAACTCTATTTCTATCTCTATCTTTTTCTCCCTCTTATATCCCATTCGTTCTCTCTCTTTTTCTCTCTCTATCTTTCACTTTCTCTTTCTTTTTTTCCAAGAATAGCCTCAATTATACGCATGTTAATAATGTACATATATATAACGTTATAATAGTGTCTTTTATCGACATTCAGAAGGACCTTCGCGCGCCCAGACGAACACGGGATGCATACTAACAAAGTATATATACATATATTATATATACATACAGATTATAAAACGTATATATTTACATATATATATAAATATATATATATATAGATCTACGCAGATACGTTATTATACACGCTATTAACTAAACACCGATCATTCATATACATACATACATACATACATACGTACATACATAAGTGCATGCATTTATGAAAGTACCAACTACGGTTATAGTCCACTGCGATGGGGGCGGCTATAATATATCTCTTTCATTTTCTTTACATTCATTTCGTCTCTCATGTCTGTCCTCGTATTCTCAACGATAATACAAAATAATAATAATAATAATAATAATAATAATAATAATAATAATAATAATAATAATTTCCCTCCCAAAAATAGAACAAGTTCAAAATAACTCCCGCGATTCTCGACCGTACAGAAAAAATCACCCTCGTTGGTCATTCGTAGATTTCGTCATTTGTTTCAAGAATAAATTTATCTATTCTAATCTTTCGATCATCGCGATCACGACCAAATTGATTTTTATTCGTTTTCATATATTCCATTCATTTTATTTATTTATTTTGTCATTCTCACATGGGAAATTTCATATGGCTTGCGTTGGTCCATGTCAATGCAAAAAATCATTGTTTTGTTGTAAGAAAAAGGAAAGAAGAAATTGAATGAAAACTTTTTCATTTACATAATTAATGAAACTTTCCGTATTATTTTTCTTTTTTCTTTTTAGTTTCATCTTCTAAATATTGAAGTGTCCCTACCTCTAATGTCCTCTGTCCTCCCTAATCCTATCTTTTTCTTCTTCTTCTTCTTCTTCTTCTTTCTCCTTTTCTCCCTTCTCTCTCTGCTCGTAAGTCGATTGAAACCCTTCTTCCTCGATCGTTTAGCACGAATTTTTTGTAATAATCCTTTTTGTAGAAGACGTGTTTAAAAATAATCACGATTAGAGTTTAGTTTAAGCGAAAACCTCGAAATGGCGGCTAATCTTTCTTCCACGAAGTCTTTATTTCGATATTGTCATTACAATTGACACAAGATTATTTTTATTACGAAAGAGAAATAATATATAGAGAAAATATTATCTACCATATAATATGTAATTTGGCTAATTTAATATTATATACATTATATATCTTTTTCTTTTTTCTTTTGTTATTTCATATATACGTTCGTAATATATCTTGTTTAACGGGATAATGTTTTTTAAACGTATATTTAAGAAGAAGCATGTGGTTTTAATTAAATTAAATTAATTAGTTTCGTCCTTCCATTTTTGACTTTGATGTACGAGAGTAAAACCGCCATAACAATGAAAGTAATTAAAGAAGAAAGAAAGAAAGAAAGAAAGAAAGAAAGAAAAATATACAATGAAAAAAAAGGGAAGGAAAAGAAAAGTAAAGAAAATAAGTAAATGATGAAAAACTTGGTTATCTGTTGCCACACGTGGATTTTAAGTAATCTTCGAACGATATTTGCTAAGCATAAATCTAATGATATTAGAATATACACACATATATATATATATATATATATATATATATATATATATATATATATATAT